GGAAGTGAGAAATGGGTATATTGCTCCATTCCTGTCAAGGGTTTGAGTTACACCGAAAGGGACTCAACTTTGAGTTGATCGGAATAAGATAAAAAACTAGACACTAAGTCTCAAAGGGTGAGCCACCTTTGAGCCGAGACGTAAAGCAATAGGCCGAACTCGATTAATAAAACATCTTATTTACGTGTACTTCACCTTACTCATCTCTATATTGTACGTATTTGCTTCTCAACAAGTACACGACCTTGCTTATCTAAGATTGAAGATGACCATATAAGGACCAGAGCTCATCTCGTTAAACTTTTGGGGTTGAGCAACTGGTCAAGCCCGGCCAACCCATGAGCCGAGAAGACCGATCTATAACTAATCATGTTACATTTATCGTATTTATAGTATTATTTGTGTACAACACGTATGTTTTACATATTTTATCCAATAATCAAATACCCAGTTCTACTACAACACATAATCAAATACCCTGTTCTGTTAAATCTTTCTATCTACACAAACATACATTTGACGCGTATATATCAAATCAAACAATACATTTCACGAAGACGTAATACAATATCATACAAAAAAAAAATCATAGTACATGCAGTACTTTACTACCACAGTAATACTACCACTGTTCGGTAACTTAGCAAGTGGGCTGGTTGGAGTAACCATGGCGGCCGCCGCAGAAATGGTGGAGGAAGGAGGCTACGGAATCCACAATGCTATCGAACACCATTTTCTTCACCAACTTTCTCTTCGCCGGCATAACTCCCCCACCTCTCTTCTTTGCTCTGATCGCCTTCACTGCCGCTCCTTGCTCTTCACTTCGGCGAAGTTCCATCTTCAGCGCCTAGAGAGCTTTTTTTTTTTTTTTTTTTGTTGCTTTGAAAACTATGGCCTTTCGTGTTGAATATATAGAGAATGTTAGGAGAGAGAGAGAGAGAGGCGTAAGGCAAATGACGACTGCTGAGTTGGAGGGTAGGTGCTGATTTGAGCTTAGCTAGCTAGCTAGTTGTGTCGTTTGGACTTTCTTTTCACTCGGCTTTCTAGCTAGCTAGGTGGTCGAATTTGCACTAGAAATTACTTGGGTTTGAGTGTGAACTTGACTAGTGAATTGATGAGATCCTTGTGCCATGAGAAACTACATGCATGTGGTTTGACATTAGTTATGTGTGTGTGTGTGTAAGCTTGTGACCTTGGAAAATTCTGGGAACGAACAAAGTCACAATCACATTTACTGTTGGTGTTTGGAAAAGGGAGCTACTACGGGAATGGAGTCAACTTCAGTTGATGTGTTAACATTTTTTATGCATATGTTTTGTGTTTTGTACGATGGTTCCATTAAAAAGGAGAAACGTTGGCATTAAGTATTTTTTTTTAAACACGGCATTAATTGTGTCTAGGAATTAATATAAACGGTTACAAATTTTTTAATTTACAAAAAGGTAATAAATCTGAGTGCGCCTATGGTAACATGCATGTTACGGTGACTTGCACTTTTCGGTCGACTTCAGTTAGGATTAGGTCGACCTCATATAAGATTAGGTCGACCTTATTTAGGATTAGGTCGACCTCATAATCGGTTGTTTCAGTGCAAAAATAGTTTCATGGTGTCTACTTTGGAGATTCATATCTTACAATTGGCTCGATGGAAATTGGAAATTAATGGCTTGCTTTGAAGCTGGAGTGTCCCTCTACACATTGAAGTGCTTGGGAGCTCGATAGGAAGTCCAGAAGACCATTTTTGAACTTGATCAAAAGGATATGCCAAAACTGGAAAACTGGCTGAAAATTGCTAAGTCTAGGAACGTGTTTGTGAAGCCTACTTTGGAGCTCAATTCGAGAAGCATGGATGCAAGTCGAGTCTAGGGGCCTCTACCACGTTAAATTAGGTATGTTTTTATACAAATTCAAATCATTGGATCAAAGATTAGATATCTGTAAGGCTTCAAACAAAAGGATCGAAGTTGCTACGAAGATTGTTTTTCTGGCAGACTTCGAGCACAAGCAAGCTGCTTTTTATCTAGCTGTTTAGGCCTAAACTATGCCCCAGAAAGACTAATTTGGCCCGACCTCTAATTTTCTGTCAAAATAGACGGTCAATAACATTGACCATTAGTTAATCAGCATAGTTCACTGACATGGATGCCACTTAGATAATAAAAATATAAAAAAATCCATCATTTAATATATTATTTATCTTATCATTTTGTTTAATAATCATTTTAAAAATCAATTATGTTAACCGTCAAATTTGACAGGAATGGGACCAAAATGGTACATAATTTAGGTCATGATGGGTATTTCACAAACCATAGACCGAAGTAGTTTATTTGTGTAAAGTTTGGGTCTTCGGGAGAATTAAAGGTATTAACGCTTGATTATTTTGTGACCATATCTTGTTATAAATTTTCTAAAATGAAAATGTATCCACTAGTGAATTGATCCAAAATAGGAGTTGGAAATAGTATCACACTATTAGTGGCGGAGCAAGTGGGTGGCCACGCCGGGCCTTGGCCCAGCCCTTCTTTGGGTCCAGAGCGAATATTACACTTATGATTTTTTTTTTTTAACATTCGTTCCAGTGTTATTTTATAATAAGATTGTGTATAACTAGGATATTGATTAAGATCAACATATTCAAATCACTACTCTAAATTTAGCTTAGAAATTCTAGTCACGGATATTGTTATGTAAGGTTATACACCAGACAGTTACTGCCATATCCATAACAATGGCATAGAACAGTATCATTTCTTTTTATGATAGACGTACAACAAATATCATACAAAAAAAAAAAACAAATTAATAACATGCAGAACTTGAGCCTTTGAAGACTTATTTCTTAAGAAAAAGACCATATCATATCAACCCAATAGACAAATCTCAAGACATAGATTAGGACCCTTCACAAACCTCTCTTGATTCACCCAATAGACAAATCCATCACATCAAGCCAATAAAATCAATCCAGCCTTGTACCTATAGCTCTCTAGTGGCCGAAAGGAACTACGATCTTCAAAAGCCTTGCACTTGAAGGCACCAACGGTAATAATACCACCGTTGATTTATTTTCCGATTGATTTATGGCGTTTCTTGTTGAATCAATATATAGAGAAATGTTGAGAGAGAGGCGTAAGGCATATGACTGCTGCTGCTGAGTCAGAATGTTAACTAGTTTGTGTCCTTTCGACATTCGACTTTTTCCAGTAAGAATTTCTTCCCACTTGTTTCCAGCTTAGTCGAATTTGCATAAGAAATTACTTGGCGTGGGCGTGTGAACTTGACTAGTGGAATATTGCTTGAGAAACTCCATGTGGTTTGACATTTTTTTTCTTCTTCTTCTGGAGATAATAACATTATGTTGTGTGTAAGCTTGTGACCTTGGGGAATTCGTGTGGCTCAGCGGACGGTGGGAAACGAATTGGTCACGACGAGGTCCCAATCATATATAGTACTGTTACTGTTGTTCGGAAAGGGAGTTACGGGGAGAATGGAGTCAACTTCAATTGATGTGTTTAACGTTTTTTTTTATATACATATCTATATTTTGTAGAATGTAAAATAGGATGGTTCCATTGAAAAGTAGAAACTTTTGCGTTATTTGTGTCCATTGGATATAAACTTTTTGGAAATATAAATAACAAGATTTTATTTTTCGTACGTCCACCATTTCAATAAAATTTTAATCATGATGACGTTGAGACCAATGATTATCATCACACGGTATTAGTTCAAACTTATCCTTCCATGCATGTTTTCGTCAACAATATAAAATTCCTCCATGCATGTAGTGATTGAAACAAAAATAAGATAATTCAATATTTGATCATGTGTCGTTTATTTGTTTTCCAAGTCGTAAAATCAAAATGCATGCCACGCGTAAGTTAACTATAAAGGGAATTTGACAAAGATCTCTACATGCATGGAAGATTCGAGTTCGTTGGATGAACCGTGTTTGAAGGAATATTATCATTTTTTTTTTTATAAGGGTGAGAATATATTAATTAAAGGGAAACGAGAACAAAATTCGGCCAGGAGTCACAAGAGGGTGACTCGGAGGGGCCAGAATCCCAGGGGGACCCAAAGACAAAAAATGAAAAGAAAACCAAAAACACAGAACAAGGAACAGCATAGTCCAAAGGAGCCAAAGCCGGCAGCCAGACCAGGAGCAAAAACCAAACAAAAGCAGGACCAAGGGGCCAAAGAAACAGAAAGAAACCACAGAATGGGACGCCAGACACAGCAGATCTCACGAGGGCAGCAGACAAATAGTTCCCGCCATTCACCAGAAAAGGAAGCAAACAGCGAATCAGCGGGTCAAGTTGTTCGAAAGCCAATCGGCGTCAAGTTGTTGAAGGAATATTATCATTAATCAAGGGTCCTTTGGATCAAGAATTTTGGTATGGGGTTTGCATTAGGCTGGGATTTAGTTATTTTACGAGAGTGGGAGACAGACACTTTATGAATGAATGAGAGCATAGTAGGAGTAATTGGATCTAAATAGTAGAATGATAGACTCCTTAATTTTTTTTAGATGAAAATCTGATTTTAGAAATGTCAAAATAGAAGAAACCCAAGTAGATATTGAATTATTGATGCAAATCATGATAGAGCGGGTCGAGAACAAGACAGGACGATGATGGTCAGATCGAAAGTAGTACCCATGTCCTGCACCTATATCTCCTACAATTCGAGTAATACTCGTCTCAAACATATCGGACAGGTCGAAACGCGCAGGTCAGATCACATTGCTAAATTGGTCACACTTTACCATTTGCCATGTAAATATCAAACTTATTTGAATTTTGAAAGGATAGAAACGGAAATCTACAAAGTGACCATTTTAGTTGTAATTTCTTAAAGTTATGGTACCATTTTGAAAAAACGCAAAACCTAGGTAATCGTTTTGTACGGATCAAAAAAATAAGTTAGATTTTGGATAATTACCCCTTTCCACTATGGCACCGTAGAGGAAATTTCCCTCGGTCGTTATACGGGCGGAAGAAGGGAAAAAAACGGTGGAGAACGCAGACTTGAAGCTAGAGAGAGAAAAGATGAAGGTTACTTGGAACAAGGAGAAGGTGAACAAGAAACGCCCTTTGGCAGCCATTTCCAAATCCCAAAATCTTCCTTTCGACAAAGATGACGACGAAGCCATCAGCCACAGCAACGACGACGCTGGCGGCCAGGACAAGCAACCGGGAGTCGCTGCTGGGGAGCCTTTGAATTCAGAATCCAATATTCAACTCAGCGAGTCGTTTCAAGCTCAGGGAGACAAGTTAGCCGAGGTAATTCTGATGGAACCGAAATGGGCACTTCAAATTTCTCAAGTTTTAGTTCTGTAATGAAAAGGGTCTTTCTTGCAAGAACACCATATTTGGAACTGGCGAGTCGATCATCCTTCAGTTCACTTAGAAAAGAACCCTAGGGCTTGTGTATCGTGAAGATAGATTGACAGTTAACTCTAATCAAGTAATGGATGCTACTGAGCCGTTGAGGCTACGAGTATATAATCAGCAAGCTGCAATTCTCATGTTTGAAAACTATATTGTACAAGCTTCTTCTCCTAGATTTTTAGGGAATAGTATAATTTTCATTCTAAGAACTTCAACTGTTGCTAAGAAGCTTTCTCCTAAATGGGTCTGGTATATGCCCAAATGGGTCTATGCAATTCTTGTTCAACTGATGATATGCCTTCAATTTGTTTTGAAGGAGGGAAAATACAGAGAAGCACTAGGGAAATGGGAGGCTGCAATCAATTTGATGCCTGAGAATGCAGTCCTGCATGAGCAGAAGGCACAAGTTTTACTTGAAGTTGGAGATGCTTGGAGCTCGCTCAAGGCAGCAACTCGTATGACCTTTGCTTTCCACTATCTCCTTTCAGGCTTATTTCGGGTTCGGTCATGTTAACGGAACAAGTTCTCCTCCCTTGCATGGTGTTACAGGAACCTACAGTGTTTATATAGCAGTTCTTTCCTGAACATTTACCCTTCAGAACCTTAATATAGTTGCTTGAATTGTTATTGGTAGGAGCCACCGAGTTGAGACCATCTTGGGCTGAGGTATGACAGTAATACACTACATCAATTTCTCTTGTATATATAGGTTACATATTAACTTATCTGGTGGGAAGTAGATCAAATAGATTTCTCAGAATGCATGTGAAGTTTAAACTAGATGGCCATCAGTGCTATCAGATCTCTTGTCATGTAGTGTTCCCTAAAAATCTGCATGTTGAGTGTTTTGGGTTTCTGCCAAAAAACTCTGGTGAACGCAATTTTTGTTTGACCTAGAACCCTTTGGGTGGAGATGCATATGATATATGCATTTGTAGCTAAATCCATGCAGTGCACAGAGTTTACATTTTGTTCGGTTCCGAAGGGTATTTCAAGTGAGGAAGTTAATACCGGGAAACTAAAGATGCCAAGCTGATGGTTTACAGTCTGTTTCCAGGCATGGGTAACCCTTGGCAGAGCACAGTTAAACTTTGGGGAACCTGATAGTGCAATTGACAGCTTTGACAGAGCACTAGCTATCAAGGTATAGCCATCTTGCTTGAGCTCTGTAAATATTTGTCGTGCTTGAACAGTCTATCCGCTTCTCATTTTATAAGGTTCCGTTCTTGGAACTCTTTTAAGTCTTAAGCATTAAAATCACGTTCTTGAGCAAAATAACAATTGCAGAAATGTCATTTTCAATAGCTTTAATTTGATTGCCCTTTGTACAGCCTGATTTTAAGGAAGCTGAAGTTGACAGACGTGCTGCATCACAGCTGGTGAGGAAACGACTGCAACTTCACTCTGCTACTTCGAGTGTTAGCACAAGCCGCTACGTTGTCCAGGACAAGACAGTTGACTCTGAGTCTGGAGAGGGAGTTCTCGAGCACTAGCTTAGTTTTTGGGTTTCACTTCGATCATACCTTCCTGTTTCGAAATGGTAACAGACTTTCTTAGAGGGCAGGAGCCAGCACACTGGAAGCCGATCATTGGAAGTAATGCGCTGTTGTTCTTAGATGTCTCTTACAAACTATTGTGCGCCATGTTCTGAATGTAAAGAAATTAATCATCTTTGTTTAAAGTCTTCAGTCATGCTGCCTCACATAGGGTGGCTTTACTTACCAACTTTGTCCTACAATTGTACATGTTGAATGACGAACATGAAACAGCAAGTTTGAAGGATTAGCAATTGGCTGCATTTCGCCAGTAGAAAATGTTCACAAATTATTCTTATTTAGAAGCAGCATCAAGTAGAAAATTTTGATTGACCAATTAGCTTTCTGGAAACCCCACGTAAAGGTTAGAACTATCAAGTACATGACTTGGAGGGAGGGGGAACACTACCCTTCTTTCCTCGACAGAATCGTCTCATCGCCTCATACATACTCAACCTCAGTAATGGTAATTACATTTTCCGACCAACCTGTCAGTTCATCCAGCTGTTATACAAAGTCTCGAGAGCCATTACCTTGCCCTAATTGATGTATCAAAAAGTCAGGAAGAAAAGCTACAAGTTCTTTACAGACTGAAAGATATCGAAGGAACCTTTCTTTCACTCATTTGTTGCTCATGCTTCAACCCCCTGTCTGCTCGCCTGCCAATTTGTCTTCAATAAAAACAGCATTCAGAAGCAAATTTATACCTTCCCTACCATCAACCATGTCTTCAATCTTCCTTTTCGACTTCCTATGCATCCCGTCGAAGCCCCTTTTCCCCTCTCTGTTCTCATACGCCTTCCTTTCCCTGCGCACTTTCTGAAGCTTCACCTCACACTGCCTACAAAACCATTTCCCTTTTGGTATAGAACTACGTGGCGGGCTCATGCAATAGATGTGGTAACCACTATCACAGGCATCACAAAGAACAATCTTATCATCATCTCTATCAGTTAAGCAACTCCGGCACAAACAAGAAGGGCAGTACCAACGTGGACCATATGAGTTCAGCTGATTAGCCGTCAAACACCTCACGTGATAATACTTATTAGGGCAAAAGGGATGTTCACAAATCTTCACCTTTCCACCACTCTCCACCTCACTCCCACAAATCTTACAAGGGTTTGAAGGTTCGGTACCTTCTGAAATCTGATGTGCATCATCTTCTGATGCCTGGTCAAAGTCAGAGAATGCAACTTCATTTGTCTGGCAGGCAGTAGGGAGGGCATTTTGATTATCTAGAGCACTGGTAGGAGCACTTAGCCTCTCGCAGACAATGCAATTCTCATGAGAACCCATTCCATTAGCTAAGCAGCTGGAACAGTACCAACTCTTGGGAGGAATCTTTTCAACAGCAGGTTCAATGCAAGAGATGTGATACATATCCTCGCATGAATCACACACTAAACAATTCAATCCATCTGCTTTGCTCCCGCAGTGCCTGCACGCACACAGAGTGGTTGTTGCTGTTTCATCTGCTTTATCAAAGGAATCAGATTCTCGTGTGGGTAACTGCTTTGCCATGTAGAAAGAGAGAAAAAAGGATGGCATCAGAACCAACTATATCACAAGAAGAAAAAAAGAAAGAAAATGCACGACTACTGTGCAAATTTGGAAGCAATATATGCCGTCCACTGAGCTAACCAAATATAAGGTCAGAAGTAATGCTTTGGATTATTATTAGGAATGCAATATAAGAATGCTAGGATGCTCAGAAGTTCATGAGAAATGGCATCTTACTTTATCCTTAAAGCAAGTCTTCGATACATCCGAGAGGCTTTTCGCAAGGAAAATCAATTCACTTCCAATCCCTTCAAGTTTTTTCCAAAACTGAAATTTAATAGAGATTAATAATCACATGAATCTGAATCAAAACTATAACCTAACGTAGTGTAGCCTGAAAAATGACATAAAATTATGCATGCAGCAAGGAAGTTCCCTCAATGTTCCCAGTAAAGCAGGTAAAAGGAAGACTGCTTATACTAGATAGTGAAGCTAAGAAAATAGTATCAGTAAATCGAGAGGGGAACTAAGAGCAGGTTCAGTTTAGAGACTGAAGGAGTTCCCGAGCCAAATATTTTCAGAAAATGCCATCAGTCAACGACCCAAAAAAAGTGCCACCTGCAGTGGGGTTGCTGCAAAGTGGCAAATGATGGGATGAAGGGAAGAGACTGATCAGAGTACATAAAGCATTTTTCTTCCAATTGGCAGTTATAGATCAATCTACAAAAATACATTGTTGGCTAGAACCAGCGTTTCCAGTAAACACGATCTTTGGTGTGGAACCAAAAGACAGAAAAAATAGAAAGCAGTCTCCTATTGGGTTAAATATTAACATATAAACTAACAATTAGATTAACACCTCCGTAAGAAGTTAAACTAGTAATACCTGTATGTAAGCATTTTCAATGCAGATATTATAGTAATGAATCCTGTAGCAAATTCATGGACCTCAAATCAAGTAAATTGATACTAGGGCAACAGAAAAAATAACTTGCAACAGACTTATCTTACAAACCTGTTGGATATCTTCAGAGAAAAGCCAGGGTGAATCCTCATAAGCTCCATCTTTCATCCTTCGGTTTATAAGACTTAGGCTGAAAAGGTTATCAGCCCTACTTTCATGGAAATTTTCAAACAACAATTTGCATAGGGAGGTGAATTTTTCAGATGATATAATCCCATGGAATGCAAGCCGACACATATCCGTTACAGTGCGGTGCTTTGGTTCATCAGAAGCGTCATTGGATTTATGGCCATCACTTTGTTTAGCCAAATTGGGAGTTGACAACCATACTTTCTTTGACTTACACCTATCTCTGTCACAAGCATCAGAAACCTGAAAGAACAGAGAGTAAACGAAATTCAGAATGGAGAGGTGAAATCAATAGCAGATATTGCAAGCCACTATATTTTATGATTTTGGTGAAAACCTTCAAAGTCCTAAGTACATCTTGGATGCACCCTTGTATACCACCTTCATCATCACTTAACGACCTATACATTTGCTCTAGGATATAATTTCTCCACTGCCCTCGTGAAACATCACTTGAACTAGCTAAATCAGCTTGACCACCAGCAGGATGGTCCGGGGGTTCCTTCATAATCTACAAGCATTCAGTTTTAGCTAGTCAAAGAACATAATGGTGGATTATACAAAACAGGAAAGAAGTGAATACAACAAACAAGATGCAAATAAACAATCTTGCCTCCATATAACAGGAACAAAATGTGAGAAACCAGTAAGTCCAGAATACTCTTTTTCTTTATTCGCTTTGCTTGAATTTATAGTTCTTTGTCATGGATATGCATATTAGACATAGAAACATTGCCAACTGAACCTACTGGCCATTACACATAGAAAAATAGCCAACTGAACCTACCGCCATTTACATGCAGAAATGCTTAACCCATTTTTTGCGTCAATTGTAAACTGGCCAATGTAGCAACAGTTCTCTGCATCCTTATCCAGATTTTCAAAATTAAACCATATTGTTCACAACTATGGCCTTGTAAAGGAATTGAAGAAATACATCAGAAGGCATCCAACATCTACATGGCATCATAAAAGAGCATCTACCAGGAAATCTGAACAGTTGCTATTTTGCTCAAGTCTCAATTCACTCACACAAACAAGTAAAGTCACTGATCAAGTTGACAGAAACACGTGGGTGCCGGGCACATTTAGATTACAGTGGTCTAAATACCAAAAGTTTTATCAAATATATACTCCATCATTAAACTGGCAAATAATTTGCAAATATAGAATAACTGAGCATGCTGGACCTTCCAATATCGTAAAATTCATTGAAATCCTTGTAGCATGGAGAACAGCACACTAGCACAAAAATCCAGGTAAAGGAACGCATCATTTACTACAACTTCTTTACTGTCCTCTCACTGATGGATTCAATCTAGGTCTTTTCATTCTTTTCTGTGACTGCATTTAAGTTGCAAGCAGCTTCAATAAACTCTTTAAGAACGCAAAGCATCTTAGCAAGTATACCATTATCATCTCTATTCTAAAAGTTGACTCCTTTTCTACAACATTCCGCCTTTAACATTAAATACTCAAGTCAGGTCACTTATGCATGATACTTACTTAACCTTGGCTGCCCTTAACCGAACACCAAAATCATCCAATGATCAAGAAGAAGAAGGAAGTACTAAACAGTAGCCAATCTAATCATGAGTCGGGTAATCAGCACAGTAAACTAAAGGAGAAAAGACCATAATTATAGCCATACCTCCTGATCTGCCGATTTCCCAGCAGCTTCTCCAGAAACACTGACATCCCCTAGATCTTTGCTCTCTGAACTAGAAGCTGTAAGCTTTTTCCTCTTATAAGTGCGAAGCCCCTGACCATTATTTCTCCCGGATCCATTAACCACTTCGCTCATCAAGCATTTCCCTCTACCATCCATATCCGACCCATTGCTCATTCCCTCTTCCCTAACCATCCCTACAACACCAAAGAAAACCAAAAAGAAAGAATATCAATGCACTTATAAGAGAAGCCAGACCCAAAACTCAAGCTTTTCAACACCCAGTTAGGTTTCACTGTAGAAAATTCAAGAAAACCCAGACAGAACACTGCAGCAGTGAACTCAAGAAAAGAACACAAATTGCCAATCTTCAATGAGGACAACCCAAAACCTTCCAAGCCCAGAAATTTCAGAAACGAATGACGAGAACACCAACACCCGCGAGACCAAACTTCGAATCTAACGCCTGGAACTTCCTTGGGCTTTGCTCTCAAAAGGAGATGGAATTCAAAGCCAAATTACTTGAACGAAGCTTTGAAGATTATCATTGCTCGAAATTGCATAGGATTCACATTCACTACTAATACGAGCACCACATCATCTTCATTCTTCGCCCTTCTCTATTAAACCGTTTTTCCTTTCCCTATCGCTACATTGTTCTCTCAGTACCCAAACAAGCCAGCGAAACAGAAAAAGCAAACAACTAAGAATCCACAGCACTGCCACGAAGTTGAGGGCAAGGAAAGAATCGTTACCTGAGACAGAAAGATGGATTCCTTGAGCGCCAAGAGAATTGAAGCCCTCGGAAATCTGCGGAAGAATCAAGAACGAGAGCCAGAATAGGTTTCTTTTTTCTGTTATTTTTTTGGCTATGTCTCTAATGTGCTGCAGTAGTAAAGTTCTTATCCGTGTTATTTATTCCGTCCCTTGTTCATTATTTTAATTTTTCTGACTGAAATTTCGAAATTGGATCCATTGTGACCAATGATGTGCACTAAACTCATTCAATGCCACTCGACTGTGTTTGTAATAAGGGATTTCGTCTAGTTTCATCCCAAGACACTGAAAATCTTGTGAATTTAGTTTGGCCAGAGAGTTGGAATTCTTGACAGATACACGAGTTCGTTAGATTCTCGAATAAAAATTGGAGATGACGTTTTAAGTAAGTTTATACGTATTACTTCGTCTTTTTTCTTTGATGTTTGACATCGACTATTACATCAACTAGTCATCCTGGATCGAGGAAGTCTTCTTGGAGCCGGAGCCATTTAAAGGGAAGTTCATTCTCTTTTACGGTCCTTCGTGCCAGTTTCGTGTCTTTTCACTCCTTGGTATCCAACAGCTCTAAGAGACGTGAGTATAAGCTAAAAAAACGCTTATAAGCACAATGATGACTCCTATAAACATATAGTAATGGTACGCATTTGAGTGGGTTAGGATTCACGTGAATGCTAACCGAGAATTGCAAGTTTGGTCAATCATGTTACATGTTTGCCACTCGAATCATTTCCCCTTCAATTTAGCTATCGACACTACACATTTATGTCATCTGTGGTCACTCGCCGCCTAGTTCCATTAAAAACAATTCCAATATGATGTGGCAAAGTAAGAATAATTATTTTTAATTGACATATAAGCTATTTAATGGTCAAACATAATGGTTGACCACCACGTAGAACATATTTAACAAGGTTGTCAACCCGCGGGTTGACCCACGGGTCGACCCAATTTGACCCTGACCCGGTGAGAAAAACGGGCCGCACGCACTTGCCGGGCTGACCGCTATTAGGTACCGGGTTGGAGGTCAAATTGTGTCATTTTTTCTTTAGTTTGCGAAATGCGCCTATTTTCCAATTTTTCTTTTCGCCTAACTCAATATTTGGAATACTAAGTTGAACATTTGAATATTTATGTTATATAAGTGTGTGTGAATTTTCACTATATGTTGGATCTAAGTACGATATGTTATTTTGGTGTAATAGTATATGTTATAACTCATATGTTAGATAAAATTTGATATAATTTATGAGGATAAGTGCAATATAATAACTCTTTCTATATTTTCGGGCCAAATCGAGCTAAAACGGTTGACTCATTAACCCTTGACCCACTAGCTTGACCGGGTCCGGGTCAACCCGCGGGTTGACAACCTTGATATTTAACAAAACTAAACAGAGAGTGATCACGAATAATATAAGTGTGTAATTTTGATGACAAAGTTATCTGGAAAACTTTTCGAATGGCAAACGGTGAAACAAACGTGTGATATGAGTGACCAAACTTGCAATTCGGAATCTTTTGGTTTTGGGGAATGTCGATGGCCTCAAAAAACCAAAACCAAAGGTTAATGGATCTTTGTGACTATTAACCATAGTGTGTATATATTATCTACCGTCCCTCCGTGTGAGGATTTATATAGTGGTTTTTCGAGGGAAGAATCAGAAACATAATATGACACCAAACTACGCGGAAAAAAATTATCAGACGGGGAAAAAGAACAGTAACAACCTTCCCCGATGAACGCTCACCGGCGGCAGACTGTCGAGTCGGACACCGATTCCGACTCGGAGACGATGCGATGTCTCTCCTGCAAGGAAGAGTACGACTCGGTCGACGCCGGGACCTGCAAGGAGTGCTACGACGAGGCAACCGAGACCGAGCAAGAGCTCAAGAAAGAGATCGACGATCTCAAGGCTAAGATCGCCTTCTTGAAATTCTGCTCCCCTGTCGGCCAGAACCACTTCGACGGCAAATTCTCCGACGTCGTCTTGGTCGCCTCCGACGACCAAGGCGCCGATGGCTTGTCTCCCTTGACCGTCCCGGCTCACAAGGCCGTTCTGGTATGTGACATCCTGCGTCCCCATTTCTCTCTTTTGAAGTCTTAATTGAAAGAGAGGGACTCTTGTCAATGGGAGCGTTGATTGCTAGTCTGATGCACTTTGGCTTTTTAGCCATTTCCTTTACTTTAGGGCACCTTTTAGATGGGAATACCCCACTCTTGTTGGAAAATGGGGGAGCTAATTAGCTTGACTATGCATAGAAATGAGGTGGTAAGCTCTCCCATAAAACAGCAAGTGTATCGTAAGCATGATGTTAGAGTTGGAAGAAGGGTTTTAGGTGTTTTTGTTGAATGGAATGTGTTGTTTCCTGGAAGGTCTGGTTGAGTGGTTGTTCTTGTGTGGTTTAGACATGGGCAGAGCTTGGATTCTGTACTCCTGCTGTATATTGAAAGGTGGTGTGCAATAAGCTTGTGTCAAATGCTGGTCGTTAGTTTCCTGAAATCTGAACTTGTCATGTGTAATCATCCTCTTAGATTTTTTGTTTGTTGTTTTGTGTTAGTCGTTTCAGTTTGTCGAACATAAGACGACATGTCCAGATCAATGTTACACCACTTTGAATGCATTTTTCGAGAGATAGTATATGAATCGTTTGTAGGAAAATTGAAACTAGTTACCTTGAAAATGCTTAATCATGATTTTGGAGTCGGAAAATTGCTTGAATTCTTGGTTGGGCTTGGAAACTTGCTTTAAATCCCAACTGATCAATCACGTCTCAGCAACAACTACTTGTCAATCCCCTGGAAAAGGAAAAGAAGAAACAAGTTGAATGAATGTGTTTTTTTCTTGAAGGTCTGGTTGTGCTAGTGTCATAGGTATGGGTAGGGTCTTTCATTCTCTCGTAATAACTTGTCTATTGAAAGAGGGTATTGACTAAACTTCTTAAATTCTGTCTTTCTGTCTTCTGTGATCTGTATTATTCCCTTGCGTAAACATCCTTTCCCCAGTTTTCAGGAGTTCCTTCCACTTTCGGAACAAATTTTTGAATGCAAAAGGGTACTTCTGGATTGATTTTCACATTCAATGCAGTTCTACTTAGGTACCATATACAAAGATGTTAAGATACAGTGTGAAGCTGTGAGAAGTTATTGATGATTTTGATGCTGTGAATTACTGCTCTGACTTGTCAGTCCTTTTTGTGTCGAACTATGGTCTGTGTATTTCTATTCTTTGTGGAAGCTTTCTTAAATGATTTTATTGAGTATTCAACCTGGTTTTTTAAAGATATGAAGCAGCTAGGGCAGATTGTTGTCTTCATTTGGATTAAATGGACTGGATAGGATTGGTGGATTGGATACAAAATTGTCACCTCTAGCACTACTTAGCATATTTGGTGTAGTCTAACCCAGGCATAACATGAAATGTTGAATTGGGAAAAAGTCAGTGTTGGAGGCTTTAGTTATGTGAAAATTGCTGCCCCTGTAATTTTTATTAGTTCTAACACTCTCTTTAACCCGATCAGGCAAGCCGCTCCCCAGTATTCAGAGCAATGCTCGAGAACCAAATGGAAGAGAGCATCAGTGGAACCATAAAAATCCCTGACGTATCATACGATGCACTCAGAACCTTTGTCAACTACATGTACACAGCTGAAGCACGCCTCGATGAACAGATGGCCTGCGACCTTTTGGTGCTGGCGGAGAAGTATCAGGTCAAGTATCTCAAAGGTTACTGCGAGACCTTTCTGGTGTCCAGATTGAACTGGGACAGCTCGTTGATGAGCTACGCCTTCGCTCACCAGCACAATGCAAAGCAGGTGCTCCAAGCTTCGTTGTCTCTTATCACGGAGAACATGGACAAGCTCACTACACGGGAGGAGTATCTGGAGCTGGTGGAGAAAGATCCGAGGCTTGTGGTGGAGATATACGAAGCATATCTTGGGAAGCAGGTGAATACAGCTGCAGCTCGTGGGGATTGCTCCAAGCAGAAGAAGCTGTAGCAGCCTAGCGGGCATAAGGGTTTTTTTCATCCTTTTCTCTTTTCGGTCTAGTTTAGATTGTGAATGTGGGTAGTGATTAGTCGATGATTGTTCTTTGTCCATTCTTTCGTTGTTCGATATTTTCGCAGGATGGTTCTCTTAAGAGGACGCATATAAGAACCTGGTTTTACTTGTCGCCCTATGGATGGAGATTTTATATTAAATCTAAATCGCGGGTGAATTCAGAATCATTAGATCTTACTCTAGACAATACCCAAAATTGAGTGAAATTGTGATTTTAACAACATTGGACTAACTAGCTTTGAGATTACTTGCATAAATTTCCAGCAGAGCAAACAAATGTTGCTGCAGATGTAGAAGCCAACTACCACGGGTTCTGCTCTGGTAAATCTGCAGTTCTCTATACTCTCAGTTGGGAGTTGCCAGTTTTAGGCTTCTTTTGTTTGCGGCCTTTCTTGTTCTTCCCATGCCCTCTTCCCTTTCGAGTTCTTTTGATAAACTCTTTATCTATACAACCAATGCAAAAAGAGAGGAAAAAAGAGCCAACCTTAGCCTCTTAGTAGCAACATTACTTTCCTCTTGGTACTGAAATGATAAACTGGAAGTGTACTCTATAGCCGGTTGGTTAGTTTATCCAGAGGCTAGTATTATGTGAAACAAGTTACAATGATGACTGATCATAAAGACAACTGCACAATTAGTTGTGGGAACCTCTTGAGAAGAGAAGGATAAAGAGTACAGGGGCGAGGTCAGGGCATACGTTTCTCGCACACCAAGAACCTCCAGCTGGCGTGAGGCCCTTCGCCCGTGTCGTGAACCATAACCACCCATCCCATCGCGGATGCTACTTCGTGGATTTCACCTATAACTGCTAAGGAGTCGCGAATGTACACAGTTCCACCGTGTCGTAGCATCCTATCCATCTCCAGCAAGATCGTCGAGAAGTTGCACTTTCCCCTGCAGCATAGGTCAAGGCAAGAAAGGAAATTTTGTGTAAGGATGTCCAGATGTGATCCAGAGCTGTAAGGACAGGAATGATGATAATAATAACATTTTCTGACCTTTTCCGCTCATCGGAGAATAGACCTGCTGCATGGATGAGGTCATACGATCTGGGGTAAGTGTCAAATGGCTCACACCTGGGTTGAAGACAATGGGATCAATAGTCATAATTTTGAAAGACTCGGAATGCTGAACTTAATAAAGGAAAAATATTTCGAGATTGGACAAACACTACATCTTTTATATATTTCCAACTTCTTTTTACCTGTTGTGATCACATTATCCATTTAGCAAAGTTCTACTAGTCTCAATCATTTGTTAGGTCGATTCAAACACAAAAACCCAGAGGTGGAAAAATGGGCGTACCAGTCGTGCATTACACCAAGGAGTCCACGGTCATATATAACGGGCAATGTATTGAAGCCATTAACGGGAACAACATTCATAACCCAGGAAGTTAGTTCCAAGTCATTCACGGCTGCTGCAAAGCTGCAAGCGGAACATGTCTTGAGATTAGAGAGGAAGAACCTAAAATGTTTCGAAGTGTTCTAATTTCAATGATATGAGAGAAGAAAAGTACTGTACCCTCCGAATCCAGCCCTCATGTCTAGCACATTCCGGAAGTTCTGCTCTTTCCAATGGAAAGCTCTAACGTAACTGTCTATTATCTCGTTCCAGTATCTCGATTCTGCTTTCATCAGCTCCTTCCTCGATATCATTGCATCCATTTTAATACTCTGGAGCCTATCCGGAGGAGAGTGAAGTCGTGCTGGCCACACAGAAACATTTCCTCCATTCCTGACCTCAGGCAACAGAGTTATGCATGCTGTCACATTGACATACCTGCAAAAATACACACCACAACGTTTAGTTTGAGGCGTTATTATTGTCAACTGAGGTAGTGATCTCAGTAAAACAAAGTCAACTCCCAGCCATACCAGACATTGTCTGGATCCTCATCAGAATTACACAGTGGTGGTTGTGCTCCAATCTCTCGGCCAAGATAGCAGCTGCTGTTCAATGGCTTGCGCCATATCGCGATATTGCCTTCCTTCTTCACAAGTTGCCAACAGATGCTCGCAGCAAGACCCTCCATTTCTGAACCATTATGGATAATAAGCAATCAGACTGTCGAGAAATGTTTGTTCAATGCTAATCTTTGTGACAAACTGATAATAGAATAAACTTGCAGTTGCAGAGGTTCACAGTTTTACTAACTCACCGTTCCATTGGTCATCTAAACTTAGTTCATGGTTACTATCAACTTGTGGCCCTCCCCACACGAAGTAACGCCCTGCCCTCAGCAACCTGTTCACCTCCAGAAGCAAAACTCCGTCTTCATTACATCCAAAGGAAACACGAGATCACCAAACATTTATACGAACTGTCAAACTAAAGTCAATAATCAACTATACTGAGAGGGGAAACTTACTGTCAACAGTCCAGTCGATTCCAGATCCTGAGCTACGTATCAAGTCGAAAGCTTGGCTTGCATAGGGCAACCTACGAGTACCAAACCCCACTACCATGGCAGGAAGGCCTCGCTCCAATGCAAACTGAATCTGATTCTTATGAACATCTTTTGTCCCAATCAACAGTGTGGTCACGTTGTGCCTAAACAAAGATGCTGCAAAGCTTCCAATCCCTGGACTAATGTCTAATGCAACGCGTGTATGATGGCCGAAATCAATGTCAGGAACCATCTGAAGATTATCCAAATTCAGTTCACCAATCACTCAATCAATCAATCAAATGTTCCATTGTGTTTTGAACTAGGAAAACTACCTGTGAGATCAAGTTCACATATTGATCACTTCCACCGTCCTGAAAACTGATCTTAGCATCTTTCACCAACATCGAATACTGGCCGCCTTGATCTTGAACCAAGCGTGTATCAGGCACATTATGAAGCCACACCTGTTGAAAATTGAAATTAAACAAAACCATGGCAAACTCAATCAAAACCCTGATTGGCTTAAAATTGGAAACCCTGAAATCAAAAAACTTTAGCTCCAAATCTTTTACCTCGTCCCGGCTCCTGGGCCAGGGGAGCGATTTCTGGTAGCCATTTGGCATGGGGACGACGCAATCAAGAGCTGAATCGGGGCAATGTCTTTCGGATTTGTCCAAACATGGAATGTGATCGATTTTGCTTCCGTCGCACGCTTTGAACTTGTCGTACTTGACAATTTTGGGCTCGTTCTCCTTCTTCTCCGTTTCTTCTCCTCCTCCCCTGAGATTCCTGAGCTCCTCCATCAAGCTGGGATCGAACTCGCCGATCTCGAAGTCTTCGGTCATGGCCCCGTTCTCGTCCACTATCCCCGTCCTCCGCGCCACCGACGGAGGCGGCGGGGGAAGTTTCTTCACTTTCAGTATAGTCGAGGAGGTGTTGACTGCGGTGGAGGTGGAGTTAAGCGCGGTGGAAGTTGAGTTGTTGGCGGCGACGGCGGTGGGGGAGGAGAGGGAGGTGAAGGCGGAGAAGGCGGCGGAGGGGAAGGAAGGGTGGTGGTAGAAGAGGAGGGCGACGGAGAGGGAGAGGAGGGCGACGGCGGCGAATTTGACGATGTAGGGGGTTTTGACTAAGGCGGTGCCGACGGCGGCAGTGGGGCTGGTGGATTTCATGGCGGCGACGGCGGTGGGAAGGGGGTGAAGGAAGGTGAATAATTGAGACTGTTGCAAATGGCGCGGCGAGATTGGGGAAGAAGACGGAAACAGAAAGGGGAACGAAGGAGTAGGAGTGAAGGGAGTGTCCGACGTGGAATGCGGGAGGGAAGGTGGGGCCTACCGTCTTTCAGTTTCGGGATTCTGATCTTCTTCTTCTTCTGCTTCTATTCTGCTGCCTAGTGGGCCCCGCGATTTCCTTCCGCTGAAATCGATGCCGAGCCCACCAGGGCCCAGCTAATGCCGATACTGTACTTTTCGGTTTTGGTGCTTTTTTTTGGATCCGAGGTTAATTACCAATATGGTCATCAAACTCATTTCAACATGACATATCGGTCATTGCACTTAAACACTAGTCGACTAAAGTAGCAATTCCTATCGTACCGATCGATCCGATTAGAAATACTAGTATAAATTTCGAAGGAAGTTTTGGCGATAGGATATGATTACTGCACTATGATTAAATCGTGATTTTATTACAAAATATCTTATTATTGATTTTTCTGGTATAACTTCCCGTCCTATTACACAATGCTTGGAATGGCTAGTGCAATATTTAGTAATTGAATACCTAAGAGGAGTTTGCATAAGGAGAAAGACTACTGCTTTTTTGTGGAATAAGTGAAGAACGTTCACAGAGGATTTTTTTTCCCCCCTTTTTCATGAATGCAATGGAACTAGTTCAGTTTTATTCAGAATATAGAGATTTCTTTTGGAAGAGGAGGATTGTTATTCAGAGATGAATTGGGATCAAAATATCCAGATTTTGTTCAAAATTTGGGAGGAAAGAAAGAGGCTGTGGTGATCTGATCAATCAAGCAACCCAATTCTCTTCTTCTTGGGAGCTCTCTATATATTGGGGTGGTTGGTTTTATTTTTTTGACTGTCTTGTTTTTTTTTTTTTTTTACTGTGGGTGGTTGGTTTTATGAATGATAACGGGTGGACTCATGGTATAATTTGACTCAATTTTTACATCGATAATGGGTTGGATCAAAATAGATTTATAATTTTATATACATTTTTTAATGTTATACAATAGGATCTCTTCATCGGTCCAACAGACACAAGTCATTTAATGTTCTTTTCCTTGATGAATATATATACAATTATTCTGCTTCGTAAAAGACAACAACATTGTACAATCTAGAATTCCATCCATCTTCCAATTAAATAGAGAAGAATTTTACGGTGATTTAAAACAATGCTACTGGAACTGTAAGGTTATAAACGCGGTGCTACGAATCGAGAAATCACCGGAATCGACAAAGTAAGAATACGAAAGCGAGAATCGAAAAACACAGACACACGATTTACGTGGTTCTATAACACGATGTGTGTTAGCTAGTCCACGGGCGAGAGAGAGCCAGTTTCACTATATCGAGGAGATTACAGAGGAGTATGAGAAGTATTTATAGTACTTCTCCATGTGGGTCTAAACCTAATCCAATCTGGCAAAGGAAACGGTTACAGACCAGGCCCAGAACCCGAACCCAAATAACATTGAGCCCATACACCATGGGCCGGGGGCAACGCACCCCCACCGGGGCGTTGCCCCTGGACCCCACTCGCTGACCGGGCAGCAAGACCCCCGATTACCAGTCGTAGCGGCTGATAGTCCGATTCAAGTCACATTAACATGTACTTTTTAAGGTTGTGGTACAAATTTGTATCCATTTACATTTATCTTATGGTACAAACTGGACTTGTATCATAACATAAATGTACAATTCTCTTAAAGTATAAACTGAACTTGTACTCTTAACGTTACGTCACAAATTCAACTTGTAGTTTGAACCACCAATTCTGTAAAGTATAGTAGAAAGACTAGCTAGAATAGAACCTATAATATAAAATACTATAAATTCATACACAATTGATACAATCTGCTCGAGAATTGCAATTTTATTAGCAAAGAAATTAACTTTGACAATCATGGACAGAAATTAATTAGAAGATTACATCACCATGGTCCTGAACTCTTCGAAATCAAGCAACCCATCAAAATTCTTATCGAACTTACAAATCATGGCCGCCGGATCCCTGCCGCTCTTCTCATCCCACAGCCCCAGCCTCTTCAGCACGTCCTCCAGCTCGTCACACGATATAAACCCATCTCCATCCACATCAAAAACCTCGAACGCCCTCTTCACACAATCTTCTTCTCCTCCTCCTCCTTCAAGAGTGTTGTTCGGGCCGTTTCCACCATCGACGTCGTTTTGGATCTCGATGGAGTTGTAGAGCAGAACGAACTCGTCCACGTTGAGGCTGGACTTCCCGATCAGGGAAGCCAGCTCGTCTTTCGTGATGGACACTGCGCCGCTCTCGAACAGCTGGCACCGGAGCGCCTCCAGGCTGACCTGGCCGTCACGGTCGTGGTCCAGGCCGTGGAACATGTCGTGCAGTTCGTTGCATGTGAGAGGAGACATATGAAGGTCAAATACGGTGTTGCGACGCGGTGGACTGATTTTGAAAAGAAGAATTGAAGTATGGGAGAGTGTTCAGGCTCTATTTTTTTTTTTTTTTTCTCTTCTTCTTTTCCTCTTAAGCTTCCTGTCGGGTTTTCTGTTTGGGTGTGTTTAGTACTCTTTGATGTGAATTTATATATAGAGAGAGGAATTAAGTCCAGCAAATGGCACATATGGTGAATCGATTAGAGGGGGAGAAAAAGGTTAATTTTGTTTTCTGTTTGACGTAATTCTGCCAATCATTTTGTTTTGGTACGTAGAATCATCATTTGTTTTCTTCGTGGAAAGATGATCTGACATTATTATGACGGTACGGATGATTCTATGTGATTAGAATCTTGCTTCTTATTTTTATACTAAATTCAATTTAACAAAGCTCTTCGTTGTTTCATTTCTCGAATCTACTCGTTTTAAGTTTGAATCTTATATGGGAGAGTGGCTAGTGCTGGAAAAAGGTATGGTTTGGTGTAGAGCTGATCATATGTACGATCTTGGTTTAACGAGAGGATCATGTATAGATCAGAGATCATATATACCACATACTATACGATATAGACCAGATCACGCTTGTGTAGCCTTGTTTGGTACGACCGCGTTGAACAAAAAATGAACAATTTATTTAGTGAACCACACTAAAATTTGAACAAATAACGGAGAAAACAATATTTTTTTGCATCAAAACATGAATTCAAACGCGCATAAATAATTTTTACACCATAAATCTTGGTAAATAACAAAGGTACAAAGTCAAAATGCCATAACTTGCACCATAACGTCATAAACATTGACGTAATGTCATATAGAGACACGATCGTCTTATCTATGCTCCAGTGAAAGGTAGTTGTGAATGAAGGAGAGGGCGAGATTCTCAAAATTAGAGTTGAGACTTGGGTCTCGTTGTGGGAGGTGGGAGAGTGGTTGAGTGGGCTGCTAATACGTATTGAGAAGTTGGCTGGATCCAAAGTTTGGTCCGGTAAACCACAATTTAGACCAGACCATACTAATTACCAAGAGATCAAAACCACATATAATACAAACCATGGACTAGACCAGACCATTTTTAACGGTCTATGGACCAAATTGCCATGGGTTGTTTTTTTGAAAGACCAACTTTGATTTTGGTCAAAATGTTTATGCCTTGAAAACTTATAAAGAAAGATGGATAATGATGTTGATTTTGGTACCTAATTTTTTTTTATCATAACATATTGATCCAATCTTTTCAATATTTACATATTGATCCAAAACTTGGATGTTATTTGGACTAATGAATCAATCCACCAATTCATTTGATCCATGATACACCAATCCAATCCACTAATTTATCGATTCAATCAAATTGCCACCAAAGTACAACAAATGTACGTATTTGTGAAGACTAATTAAATCTGAATGGAGCTGGTTGTGATTCTCAATTAACAACCATTAATTTGGAGATGAAGGTAATAATGGCCAATGCCTTGCCACGACATGGAAAACTCGAAGTCCAAATGGAAATAAGGAGGGAATTTTGACAAACAAAAAAGTTGGTATAAATTTATGTAAGTTTCCTCTTACGTTCGTTTTCCCCCATATGGAGGAATAGTACGTAGTAAAAGTAATTATTCAATTCATCGGGTCATTATTGGTATATTCAAACTACTACTCCTCCTCTTAATCAGGAATTGACTCTCCTCAACTCGAACTCAATTTGGGCTGGTTGTTGGCTGGAATAATATAGAGATCATTTTGGTTCAATTTTGTTATTTAACGGCTCATGTAATGTTTTACTCATTATTGGTATATTAATAGTTTGTTGTAGTTTCATGTGATATATAGTAGGCGTGTGTTCGAATCTCCACGATCCCCAATATAACACTTAAGTAAAGCACAAGGTATGGTGGGTCTGTGCAAACTTCAAGCCCGTAGGTTGGCTTTCGTTTGAGGGGGCGTGTTAGAGAGTGCTATACGATCAAGCCCGTAAACACTAACCTCACACTCCCAAGCCCTCATACTATGTATACCCATCATTCCTTCCCCTCGAAATCAATCTTGTCCCCAAGGTTGACAGTCGTCGCCCTCCTCCTCGAACGAACACATGACCTTTGACCGTCCTGCACTTGTGACCGATGGTGAACCGCGCTCATCACAATTAAAGCACAGCCCATGCACGCGACGGAGCTGTTGTTCCTCCCAGCTGAGCAGCAATTTCCCTGACCCTGGTCTACGCGTCGGGTTCGAGTCGCCCGTTGACGCCGAGTTTGCAGCGTCACGTCTGAGTAAATGGTGCACATGATCTCTCGATCGAGTTCTCCTCCCTGTGTCTCGGCCAGGGTTTTTGGACAAAAAGGGAAATTATAATACATCCCCCACTTACCACGTTATAACTTTAATTAATTAAATTGAAAATCTGATCAGTAAACAAATACGTCTTCTGACATGTTTGTTAATCAATTTGCATTTTGCAGAATGTTTATTAGCACTACAGCTGCAGGTCAATATTCAACCACATACACGTTTATTACTTAAATATTGACGTTGGATTGAATTAATTATTAGTTGAGTAAATACAGAGCTTTCAAACTTTTCAAATTATAAGTAAAACCTTTGAAATATGAAGTATTTGTCGAATCCTTTGATACGTATCAAAATAGTAGCAAGATGTATGTTACCGTTAATAATTTGTTATTTTTTTATTAATTAAAATACTAAAATTTTGAAATGTTAACCGTACTTGTCATTTTCAACGTAACTCAGTATCATATTATTGTCAAATCAGCATTATTAACAAAATTGCTAACATGGAGGTGACATTTGACTAATACTTTATATTTCAAAAAATTTAGGTAATAATTTGATAAGTTCAAAAAATTTAGACAGTTGGTTAATACATTATATGTACTCTTATTCATTTGTAATGTGTATCAAATATAGCTTAGCTTAGCTAACTTGTGCCGCACGATTTCTGTGGAAATGACTTGTTCACTTATCCAAGGCAAATATAGCTATTAGCTAGGGATCCTGATCTGAAAAAACAACCTGTGGGGTCGTGGCCGTAGACTTCCACTTGTTGCATTTATTCTAGAAGGTATGAGAAGTTTCTAGGTGCATCTTTCCAACCCCATTTTTCCTACAAAATGACCAAGAAAGAATCTGAAGGTTGGAATACGTGACTCACGAAAAAGTATTAAAGTTTATATCTTTGTTTGGTTAGACTCTGGAGGACTCAGTTCGAACTGGATTTATTGCCGCCAACAGAATGAAGGAGAAATTAGTTCATTTCTATCTTGTATGTGTCGGTCTCTGCAAATTAAACTGTGGGACTTCAAGGCTGAATTAGTATGTGTTTAGTGATTACAGGAAAAAATTTAATTTTGTACCACATCGATTAATTACAGGAAATTAAATGAATTTATGAGACCAACTTAATTATAACAATTAAAATGAGTCAGATAGATTGAGTTTTGAGCCCATGAGTGCCAATACTATCATGTATGCGCCACCCGAAGATCTACTCCACCTCATGGTATGATCCGGGGGCACATGGTGTGGTCGAGGGGGTCATCAACCTAGCACCCCCAGTATGCAATACTAAGAGGTAACATAGTTAAAGGGAATCGATGACCGAATTTGGCCAAAACAAGAAGACACCCTTGTGTGATCAAGGGGGTCATCAACATACCCCATGGTGCCACACTAGTGGGTAATTGTGGGGTAAAGAAGATAGAGGTACCCATGGTGTGGTCATGATAAACATGCACCCCCATGGTATGGCGGCACAATATACCCCTTAGTGGATGAAATATTGTCAAAATTCGGCAAAGTATGCCCGCTTACATAGTGGTGAATTATTTTTGCTATTTTTATCCTGTGTGATACAAACACCCACCCACATGTGGCAACGGGATCTTCATGCCTTCGTCTTGTTTCTCAACTAACAAGCAAAGCTAATGAGGAGCTATCAAGAGGAGGGAGCCAAGACTGAAGAGGGGGACTACAATCAATGTCGGGGCATAATCTGAGCATTTGAGAGGACAACCGTCACTCCACGTCTGCGGAGCAGTTTCCTGATGCAGTTATTTATTGTGACTAGAAATAGGAGGTGAAGATGACAATAAAGGGGTTCACAAAAATCACAACTCGACACAACTTGTCCAGTTTTATCTTTTTTCTATTTTCCTCTGCAATTTTTAGCCATAGTCGTAGTTCTGGAGCTCTCACCGAACCTCCACAAGAGCATGGCTAATTTAATGTAGATATGTCTTGTAGTTCGTCAAAACATTGAATACCCTTATTTGAACTTTGTTCAAAAAGTTATAGAAATGTGTTTGTTAATCGTTTTGGTAGGAAATCAAGGTGCATTCAATTCTATTCCATCTAGTTTTTCTCACCGGGAAAACAATAGGTTTTGTTTTGTCCCCATGTTTATATGTCTATGGTAAGTGCCGCGCTCAAAGCACTCATCTCTGTGATCGATCAGTTAGTGATGCTGATTTGTTTGGATATGATTTCAGTTTTCAACACGTAAATAATCGACTAAAATGAAAATCTAATCGATAACTTGCAATAGGTACACTAATTTAAAAATAAAAAACGATAATCCATAAACACTGCAATTTTTCTCATATCTCCCATCTAGAAGATCAATAATTCAGTTGGTCAAAAGAATAATGGAATTCAATTACTCACTCTCACAAGGAATTGGAAACTAAGCAGAGGCACCGCACCATAAGCGTGGGCTGCCTGTTAGACTCTGGTAGATAGATCACCGATGAACTAATTAATAACGCCCCTCTCAACTTCCAAATTTCATTAATTTCCCAATCGATCTTTAATTAATAACAATAATAATGCCTACACATTCAATTATCTACACCTAACATACAATTAAAATTGATAAACCAAAAAAAACAAAACAAAAACAATTACAAACCGGATCTCCTGTCATGCAACCCACGATGCAACCGCTCTCAACTCAATCTCCACCGTCCGATTCATCAAAAAATCCGGCAAAAATTCCATTCTCTCTAGGCGGATGCTGAGGACGGCGTCGTTTGGAGCATCATGTTCTTGAACTCTTCAAGGTCAAGCGCGCCGTCGAGATTGGAATCGTAGGGCGAAATCATCCGGCGGCAGTCCTTCCCCGTTGTCTCGTCCCACAGCCCCAACCTCGACAGCACCTTCTGCAGCTCCTCGCTCGTTATCAATCCGTCGCCGTTTAGGTCGAACACTCGGAACGCCTCTTCCAGATCCCTCTCCACCGCCGCCGCCGATTCGCCGCCGCCGCCGCCCTCGATCGAGCGGCAGAAGGCGAGGAACTCGTCGAAATCGAGGGCGGATTTCCCGACGGAGGACTCCAGCTCGTCGCTGGTGAAGTGTTGGAGGGGTCCGATTCGGTCGAGGAGCCAGCCGAGCTCTTCGATGCTGAGGAGGCCGTCGCCGTTGCGGTCGAGCCGGTGGAAGATCCGCCGCAGGTCGGCGGCGTGGAGCCCCGGGGTCATGAAGGGATTGGTAGGAAGATTAGGGTGTAATGACGAGGAAAGTGTGGAGGGAGAAGAAGAAGAAGAAGGAGAAGGGGAAGAAAAGAGCATGATTTCGGCCTGTTTTGACGGAATTGCGGAGAGGTTGGGGGAGTTGATTGTTCTCGAAAAGATTGATTTCTTTCAGATTTATATATATAGAGAGAGATTGGGAGAAGAAGTAGTACGTTGGTGCCGTACTAAAAGACAGGGTTTTAATTTTCCGGGGGCCGGTGGCGCTCGCAGGAAATTTCCTATACCAGGAAAATACAACTAAAGATCGTGGTTAATAATGAAATGGGCACTAAATTGTGATCAACTAAATTATAGGTTGGTTGCCCAAATTTTAGAGTATTTTCATTTTTAATTTATTCTGAAATATAAAATTCAAATAAATGATAAATGTGATATTTACAAATACGTGGGGTCTATGGATTTGGAGCTAAAAAAATTGTTCAAATTGGTGGGCCCCACGCATTTTCCTACCTTAACAGACAATGACGTTGGACAAAAAAAACATGATGGTTTGTATTTGGAGACCAAATACACAACATCCAAATCCCATTAGCAAGCAATACCTTAACGAGTTTGGATTGAGGAACACATTATTTTTTTTCCCAACAGCATACTATAAGTTAATTTGGGTCGAACAATTTACCGACATGATTTGGAAAGAGTTTTATAAGCTAAAGTTTACTCATCGATAAACGATATGATAAACTTATTTATTACCACTCCTGATAAAAATACATAGTTGTTTTTTTTTTTTTTGCATTAAGGGAGGCCAAAGCCAAGAAACAAGAACAGCAAGGGGGAGGAGAAACAAAGACTAAGAGGAGGAAGGCGCCACAATACGGCGGTCAAAGGACACCCCCATAAGATCGTCCTGTAAAATCTGTACTAACTCTCTAGGAGGGTTAGTCAGCTCATGCATACCGTAGGGATAGACGAGACTGTGCTTCGAGAGCCAGTCCGCGGCTCTATTCCCTTCTCGGTATGTATGAACTATACTAACCAACCAATCCTGAGCAAGTTTCCTCCGAATAGACGCTAAAAGAGCAGCATACGGGTGCACCGGATCATGGCGATTATTAATGAGGAGAATCGCCAGCTGAGAATCCGTCTCGACCACAAGATTGTTAACACCAAACTTCCAAGCAAGAGTAAGCCCATGGTAGAATGCCCAAAGCTCGGCCAGAGCCGCAGAAGCTTCCCCAATCTTTGCCACAAACCCTGCAACCCACCGTCCCTGAGCATCACGAATCAGCCCGCCTGCACCAGCAAGACCCGGATTACCCGCCGATGCGCCATCAATGTTAAGCTTAAACCATCCCTGCTGCGGAGCGTTCCACTGGATGCTAGCCGTCACTCGGTTCCCTCCTGGCTCCCGATTGCTAGTTCCCAACAGAGGAGCGCACCACGCCTTATACCACAAATCCGACTTCAGCTGAATAGAGTGCAACAGAGAAGGTGCAGTCAGCGCCTTCTGCGCTCCTTGGAACACCGTTGTGCACCTGTTTTTCCACAGAAGCCAAATGGTTATACTGAAGAAAGCACTCCAAGGCATACCATTCGCCATAGCTTTATCATTCAGTAAATTCCCTCGCAGCCAAGCTTCCTGATCGCTTGAGAAGAAACCAAGCTGTTCGGAGGGGGAAATGCTCCTGTTCCAGACATAAACAGCCGGAGGACAGTCTCTCAACAAGTGGAGCGTTGTCTCCGGGCAACTGTTACACCTGGAACACATCGGCGACGGCGCACACTTCCTGTAAAAGAGCAGGCTGTTAGTGGAAATCTTGTTCAGTGCCACCAACCAGCTGAAGCACCGAACTCTCTCGGGCACCGGGTTGCTCCAGATCTTCTTCCACAGCTTCTCGTCCTGATTTCCTTGCTGGGGCATGGCAATCTGGAAGGCCGACTTAGCAGTAAAATGACCATTCGGGGAAGGGGCCCAGAAGAGAGTATCACGGTCCGTAGAGAGAACATCCACAGCCACGGCCGTGATCTTCTGCTGAACGTCAACAGACAGCCACTGCGAAAACCGACTCACATCCCATTCTCCATTATCATCCAAATAGCTAGCAACTGTGTCCCTCAGTCTCTCCTCCGGAATGGGCTGCACAGCCACATCCTTTAAAGGAACCTGCAAAACCCACACATCACACCAAAATTTAGTGCTTCTACCATTCTGAATATTCCACGCACAACCTTTTCTGAGAAGGTGGGAAGCTTTGGTAAAGCTTCTCCAGGCAAAGGAACTTCCCTGAATAGGACGAAACATGTCAAGGCCCTCTCTCTGCTTTCCATACTTGGCGCTAAAAATCTGGGTCCAAAGAGACTCCTTCTCTTTGAGGATACGCCACCCTCCTTTGGCCAGAAGAGCAAGATTAGCCTGCCTAAGAGGCCGGAGGCCTCCACCCCCTTGAAGCCTAGGTTCCGTCATCTTCTCCCAAGGCACCAGGTGCATCTTCCCCTTGTCCTCATCTTTTCCCCAGACAAAATCCCTGTTAATCTTATCTATAGCATTGCAGACATTCTTAGGGATTAGTTCAGATTGCATAGAGTAGGTGGGAATAGCAAGGGAGACAGAACGAGTAACCGTTAGTCTCGCGGCGAGTGAGAGCCTCCTAGCTTTCCAAGGAGCTAGCTTCTTTTGGATCCTCAGAATCAAAGACTGGTATCGGCTCCTAGTAACCCGCCCATGGATAGCTTCAATGCCCAGATACCGGCCAAGATTAGTTACCAGCGGGATGGCAGCCTTGTCACTAAGCCGACGGGCTCTGTCTTGTCTGATGTTCGGAGAGACATAACAGACAGACTTCTCATAGCTCACCCTTTGTCCCGAACTGGCACAAAAATCATCCAAGCATTTTTTGATGACTCCTATCTGGCTCCCTTCTGCCTCTGCAAAAAGCACCAAATCATCCGCAAAAAATAAGTGAGATAAAGCAGGCCCCCTCGGAGACAAGCGAATGGGCTTCCACTGCTTATCCCGGACGGCCTGATCGATTCTATGAGATAGACGTTCCATACATAGCACAAAAAGATAGGGAGAAAGAGGGTCTCCCTGGCGAACGCCCCGAGTGGGAGTGATGATAGGCGTGAACTCCCCATTCCACAAGATTCGCATCCTGTTGTGCTCCACACAGTACATGATCCCCCGGATCCACGAACTCGGAAGGCCTACTTCAATCAAGGTGTCCCTCAAAAAGTCCCAACGAAGCCTGTCATAAGCCTTTTCGAGATCAACCTTCAACACCATTCCCCCCTTCTTCCCCCGCTTCTTCCGCAAAGAGTGCAACACTTCCTGAACAATAAGGATGTTGTCGGTCGTTTGACGTCCTGGGATGAAGCTGCTCTGCCTAGGAGAGACCAGCTTCCTCATAACCTCCTTCAACCGACAGGTCAGGGCTTTGGTAATTGCTTTGAGGCAGACGTTGTTGAGGGAGATCGGGCGAAGTTGGGTGACCGACTCAGGCTTGTCCACCTTAGGAATGAGGACCACCGTGGACTCCGTGACCGCTTCAGGCAACGTTCCCTGTTCAAAAAACAAAAGAGCCATATCAGTGAGCGCCTTCCCCACCACCGCCCAAGCTTTCTGGTAGAACAAAGCTTGGAAGCCATCTGGCCCCGGCGCTTGAAGCGGTTTCATCTCAAAAACCGCTTTGTGGATGTCGAGGATGCTGAAAGGCCGGAGAACATGGAGCCAGTCTTCTTGGTTCAGCCGCGGGAAATCTCCTTTTGGGAGGAGGTCAACATAGGGTGAGTTATCCTGCAAATAAAGCTCAGAGAAAAAGTTAAAAACAAGTTGCAACAACTCATCCTTCTCGCTGATCCATTCCCCATTAGTATTCTTAAGACAGTCAATCTTATTCCTTCGACGTCTAATGTTGGCAAGCTGGTGGAAATAGGCTGTGTTCCGTTCTCCAAACTTCACCCAATGCTCCCTCGCTCTCTGGAACCAAATGAGCTCCTCCTGCTCCATTGTCTTATCTAACTCCTTCTCTAGCTTCGTGTGCAGCTTGAGGAGACCTGGAGAGAAAGAGTTTGCCAGGCGTCGCTCTATCCTTTCAATCCTAGCAACCAACCTCTTCTTCCTTTGGTAGACATTCCCAAAGGTCGATGTATTCCAAAGCTGGAGCTTTTTGGAGAGATCCTGCAACGCCATAGGCAAAACATTAAGTGAGTCCCAAGAATCAGCAAGAAAAGAGGAAAATTCCTCATGAGTGAACCAGGCTGCTTCAAATTTGAAACGTCTCGTGGACAGGTTAGGGCCTCCCTGATTAGACACCGTGGTAAGAATCGGATGGTGATCGGAGCTCAGGCGCGCCAAGTGGGTCACCGACGTATTTGGAAACCCCTCATTCCAAACCAGGTTGCAAATGCTTCTGTCGATTCTGCTGGCTTTATAGGTGTCACTCTCCTTCCCCCTGGACCACGTAAACCGAGGGCCAGAGAAGCCGAGATCCACCAACTCTGCTTCATTCAGGAACTCTCCAAAACGCTTACATCTACGAAAGGTTGCTGGTGAGGGGGGCCCTGTTTTCTCATCCGGGTGCAGAATTGCGTTGAAATCGCCGGTGAGAATCCATGGGCAGTCCACTTGCTTGCTTTGCTCGATGATAGCATTCCAGAGAAGACGTTGAAGATGCTGGCGGGGGGACGCATACACTGCTGTGAGCATCCACGGAGCCTGGTTACCCTTCGACACTCTCACAGAAAGATGCTGCGACCCTGCCGAATCAACCTGCACACAAAAATTCTGAGAATTCCAAAACAGCCAAATCCCACCACTCCGGCCCTGAGCTTCAATTCGCAGGACATCCGGGAAACCCAGCTTCTCACAAACCCTGTTCGCCACTTCTCCACTAACTTGAGGTTCGAGAAGAATAACAAAATCCGGCCTGTGCAACTGCAGCGCAAGCTTCAGGGAACGCGAGAAGGAGCTTCCTCCGGCACCCCCGACATTCCACGAAAAAATTTTGAAGTTATAACAATTAAAACCAACCATTAAAAATGAAAAAACAAAGGGGAAGAACAGAAAGCGGAACAAAAAACAGAGGCAGAAAGCGCAGAGAGAAAAGGACGAGTTCACCGGGAAATCGCACTCGGCAGGACCCCCTCCTCAAGGTTCCCCGCCGCCGCATCCCTCACAAATCCCCCTGCCATCGCATCCCCCTTCTTCCCCTCTTCCGATTGAGTCTTCCCTGTCCATTCACTAATCTGCTGTAAGGTTAAAGCTACTCGCCGCTCTTTACTCTTGTTCTTCTTGTCTTTAACCGGTGACCAAAACTGCAGAGCTTTCATCGGGTTGTGGCGGAGTGGAGTCAGCTTCATAGGCGTCGAAGTCTTGCTCCCCTGACTTTTCTTTTTTTCCTTCTTTTGTTTAGTTCTTGAAACCGCCGACGGGACAGAGTGGTCGATAGTTCGCGGTGGAGGCAGCTCATAAGGTTTGACTTCCACAATTTGAATTTTGACCCCGTTCCCATTACTGGAGACATTCAATTCCTGCCTCTGATTCTTCTCGTTGGGTTGGGCTTCTTCTGCTGGGCGCGGAGTCTGTTTAGAGGATGAGGCCTCCTTGTTCTTACTGTTGATGGTGGGCTTGGGCTGCCCAATCACAAGGGGCTTTGGAGCAGGCCCCAAAATCCCATTGACTTCCATGTCCACGATCTCCTTCCCTTTACGTTCCTTACCCTTATCCGCCACTTTCCCCTTTTGCTTCCCTAGGTTAGAATCTTGGACATTTAGAGATTTCCCCTGTTAGAACAACATGGATTGAACTTATTAAATTAAGAGCTACTTATCAAGATATAGAAAAAGAATTCCACAACATAGAAAATTATCTATTTTGGGTAGGATTTCTGACAATATACCACTGCACTGCTATATGTGGTATACCTGTTTTAGAACAAGTTGGTATAAATTTCAATCACCAACGTATATATAATCATATCATATTTTCTCCCCTTAAAACGTTTAGTTCACTAAACCTGTCATATCGTAGCCCAACTACTACATCTAGACGTGGCATCAACCCATCAATATAAAAGTGACAACGTGTCCAGTTTTAGTGACGATTAACATATTATATTGGACTAATTAAGCCTAATTAAAGATATATACTAGCTAGTAGTATGTGTAGCATACTCTTGCAAACAATCTTAACTATGGTTAATAATGTGCTTTTACAGACCATACACCATACTACTCATTTCAGTATTTTATACAATTACTGTTTACATATGAAAGACATAAAAAGAATAATTGAAATTTAATTCAGCTAACATATAATAAGTTACATTCAGAATCAATAACCTACAATGGATTCAAAATTTGAAAGGGCGAAATCCCTAAAGGAAAAAAAGGGGATTTGAAAGGGTGACAGTGGCTCATGCATGTGCTCGTCTATCACTACAACAAATTTGGCCTGTTATGACGAGGCAATTTTGTCATATTATATGGCCATTTTGTCATATTATGTATAATATGACAAAATGTGTTGTCACAAAGGTTTGTCATTTTATCGCCGTCAAGATAGATCAAATATGACAAAAAATTAAAACAAGTTTATCACATTTGCTTTCAGTATAGCTGAGGTTCTGTGTAGTTTATTGTGACAAACAAAGATGTTATGACGACATATTTTGTCATTACAGTTGTCATAATCTGGTGATTTTGGTAGAATTTTTCGTCATATTACACTGTTATATTTTGTCATAACTTTATATTGTGACGACTACATTTTGTCACAAGTTTTTATTGTGACGACTCTATTTTGTAATAACTCAATATATGACGAATATATTTTGTCATAACTGCATATTATGATGAGTATAGGTTGTCAGGAAAGGTGGTTTTAACTCATTGTTTCCTGCATTGCAACCTGGTAATAGAAAGATTACCAAAGATTCAAAACATTACAACCATTTCCATAGCAGTCTAACTCCTTGTTCACCATAACCAAACATTCCAAGTTTTCGACCATGACACAAAACATTCTAACTCCTTTGTGGATCTTGGGCTCTCCTTCGGTCCATACTTCACCTTTTTCTTCAGGACCTTCTGAACAATCTCACGGCTTGATACAAGCTTCCCCTCTGCCTTTGCTTCTATCCAAATGGACTGCATCTCCAGCTAGACATTGAACAAAAATGTTAATGATATAGTTCACATGGTTTGCTATGGACTAATCATATGAAACAAGGCAATTCATGACAATGAATTCACATAGTTTTGCCTAGGTCGCTCGGAAAATCCCTATCTATCATACCCAGCAGCTGAAATCTATCACAGGTTGAGACAACCCTGTTACCACACAATTCGACCAAATGTCTTCCTCGTCACAAATTGCTAAGTTGGCTCATACATTTATCTTCAAGCACCTATAAGCAATTGCTTTACATCAATTCCTGCACAATCAGTGGTAAGAACACCATAACCCATTTACCTGGAGACCCTTCTTAGCTGCCTTCCCTTCCCTTCTTATTGAACTTTCTTTGACTTCAATGATCCCATCCATTGATTAGCACAATTCACGCTCTTCACCTCGAACCCAACCTATAATTCCCAACCAACCAAATTAACTTCTACTTACACAAACCTAGTACTTGTTAGAAACCCAAAGTAACTAACCCTCAATTTCCCTTTTGTACATCCCTCTGCATCTCTCCCTATCACCCATCAAGAACCCCACGTATGTCCAGGGAGAGAAAAAGGACATTTACATCAAAATTGTGACCCATCTTATCTAAATATAATATATTAAATTCACTAATGGAATGGGTAATTTGTGTGTTAGGTGGGGAACTTAAATTCCTTAGCTTCTTGAGGAGCACCAGCTTCTTTCTAGAGATAAAGGCTTAGCATAACACCATCAGTAGTAGTTATCTATCTACTACAGTACTCTTACACATACTATGCAGAAATGAAAACTGATTCAAGGCACATACCTAATCCTCCACAAACTCAAGCTACTGTTGAGGGAGTTCCAGAACCAAAAGCATTTTAGAATGGTGATTTAAGATGCTACCAACCTCTTGGCATCCTTTCAATTGTCATGCTCCTCCACTTCCTCATCCACTTCCTCAGATAATTCATTGGCTTCATATATTTCTGAAGCCATTTTCAATTAATCTAAATAACATAACATACCAAAATTACCACTAGTTTATAGACATATGAATAAAGGGATGCACACATCAAGCCACTGTTCACATTTAGCAAATCCAAAATGCAAAAACTCCACACAGAACAAGGCATGCTGCATATAATGACCTCAAAGACTCCTTACAAATCAAGGGCACCGCATCTCTGTCTTCAAAAGCTTGGAAGGATTCAAACAACAAAGAGGTCTAGAAAACCACAATTTAACTCAAGCTATTTTACACTAAAAGATAAGCAAGCAGACTTGAGAAGCCTATTTCCAACCGACTCTGCTATTTGAATTCTAGTTAAAGTAAGATTCCACCACATCTCAGAGAGAAATATACAGAGGGAAACTCAGGCTATTTGACTTCGAATTAAAGCGAGATTCCATTACATTCTTCTATCGTAAACACACCCAATATACAAAAAAAAAATCCCCAGAACCAAAGATGAGACAAGTAAATCAAACCCAGATGAACGAAATCTCAGAGAGCGAGAACAAGGGAAAAGAAGAACCGAGAAAACAGAGAGGGGGCAAGATCTAGAAGAGAAGAAGATGGGGGAAACCTAACGACCAACACGAGAAGAGCGAGAGGTGGGTTTCTTCTTCTCTCAGTCCTTGTCCTTGTTTTCAATTTCTGAAGGTGGGTCTAGAGTTTCCAGAGAATCCACAACCACAGGGTCCGATGGTCGGGAGAAGGAGAAGTTGGAGGCGTCGGGGTCGGGGTCGATGGTTGCTGATCGAGAATCAGGAGTGTAGGTAGGCGGCGGCGTCGGGATACAATGGTGGAACTGGAGTCTGGAGGTTGGAGAAATGACAGGCTTGTTTAGGTCGAACTGTCGATGGATGAAGAAAACCCGTTTGTGTCTGTTTTGGTCCCATTTGATAAAATTTTTTATTATTAATTTTTTGGGCGTAATGAAAATCTAGTTGGGGAGAGGAAATTTCAAGTTTTGGGCGGGCTGAAAATTTGGTTCTAAAAATTGGGAGGGATTGAAAAGTAGATAGTTAAAAATTGGGCGAGACCGAAATTTGGGTGGGGAAACTGAATTGTGACGATATAATTTGTCACTTTTGTGTTCTTTACATTTTGATATGGGATGGCTTTTTTGAAAAACTTAATTGTGACACGAACTATTTGTCACATTACTCACTTTAAATGATGAACTATTCTGACAACAAGAAATTTGTCACTTTTGAGTCTCTTACATCCCGATGGGACGCCTATTTTGACAAAATTAATTGTGACACGAAATATTTGTCACATTACTCACTTTAAATAACGACTTATTCTGACAAAAATTTTTCTTGTCACATTAGAGATACCAAATAGGACATATATTATTTTTGTCATATCATCGTACCTATTGTGACAAACAGAAAATGACAAAATAAAAATTTTGTCCTAAGAGGCCGAATTTGTTGTAGTGTATCTTTTATTCTTGTCTTAATTTTGCTGTGTGTTTTGGATTTTTTTTACAATGGAAAGTCTTTAAAAGCACATTCGAAAAAGCTATGATTGGATCAATGCGGCGAAGTCAAAAGGAAAACTTGATTGGTCGCAAATTAGTTGATTTTAAGTATTCTGTGTGTTGTACTACTACCTACTACGTACATATCGTCCAAAGTTTTCTGTGTGTTGTACTACTACTTGTTGTGGTAGTGCGTGACAGCATTTGACTACTACACAGTCGCTCTCCAATGGCCTGCTGGGAGATGCAACGTCAGAGACATTCCATGCTACTTGCCCGTGCGTAACTATTTCACAGTCCATGGCCTCTGGCCATCCCTCTACGGGGGCAGCACGACCGAGGATTGTGGGTACGAGGACGCGGAGGCTTTAGATGTAAGAATAAAAGTATTCTCAAAATTGTTAAAGTAAACACTTCCATTAGCTTTGCGTAGTGTCTTAGTTATTACAGAAGACTTATGTAACATGTTTGTTCGACTGATACATTAGAAATAACTATCCCTTCAACGTTTATAAGGTTTACAAATTATATTTTAGTAATTGTTATATAACAATGTTATATAACCTTCCATAATGTATGGCCTAATAATAGAATCAAGTTAACAATCTCACATTTTATTAAGCTATGTTTGGAGGTAATTAATAGCCCAAGTTTTTTCCCCATTTGATACAACTATATACAGTGTATGAATCTCCAATGAACAATACTTTTGTTTTCATGATTTCCCTATTTTGTCGTAATGAATGGTAAACTATTGGAATAAAACTTGTGCTTTTAATTAATTAATTAATTAATAATATGTGTCTGAACATAAAATGATGGAAATTTGATGGCGGGGTCAACTTAAACCCTCTATCCTAATTGCTAGGGTACTTATAATCGATTAAGTCCAATCAAATCGAGTTTTAGATTGCTCAATTTTAGGGAAGTGCAAGTATATGCTATACCAAAATAAATAATGAACATTGTGGTCCAATTATAAAAAAAGAAATATGAGAATTCATAATCGGATTTTGTGATAGTTGGGCGTCGCCACCACCAACCTTACCTATTTCCATGCTTGCAAAAGAGGGTTTACAAATAGTTACCATTTTAACATGCCTCCAACTAATTGGGTGTATTTATTTGGCCTAAGTAATCATTTTATTTAATCCAGTCGTATTGGTTGGAGAGCTACATAATATATACTTTAGAAAGCTACAACGTACTCAATTGTGAGAAGAAATTGTAGTTTGTCATGGAAAAATATATAGCATGCCTAGGCTTCTTAATATACATATACAGCTGTATGCAGAAGAACAACAGGACTTCTGTTCGTCTTGCCCAAATAAGTCAACTCAAAATTGTATTTGGATCTGATCCAATACTTTAAAGATCATCACAACTGGATCAAATTATCGAATGAGTCAACCCATTATCATAGCTAGACAACTTCATCATCAAAAGTCAAAACAATCAATATATTCATGTGTGCATTTTTCAAGATCTTATATGATTAGAGCTTAGACGAATTTTGCGCAAATATTTGATCTTCTTAATTGTTCGAAATTTCAAATTTTCTTCTTTTCCGATTTCAAATAATCCTTCTTATCCGATTTCGAAATCGAGAAATTTCTACCGAATCCGACGGTTCAATCATCAGCTGTCGATGCAGACAGCAAATGCCTGGCTGAGTGGTGCAGAAACCCTAGCTGTTTTCTTGGAACTAAACGTATGTGTTTGGTTTCTCTCCGACGTTGTGGATGGAAACAACCATTGAAAGCGATAAGAGGAGTTTGACATTACGATTGCTCGTCGGTTGCCACACATTAGTTCTACAAAGTTTGCCCAAAACCAGTCCTTCTATGTCGAAATAGTAAAGGCAGAGGGAAGACCAATTCCAGCTTCATGCCACTATATGCATCTATTCGTTGAAATCGCAAAATATTGGTCAAGTTATCTCAGCAACTTGCACTTACCCATCAACATGCTACCAAAATACAGAAATCTTCTTCAAATATCGCCAAGTCTTACAGAAACATTCTTCAAAAGATTAAAAAAATGAAAAGCCTGCAGGCTGCAAACGTAAGAAGCTTCTATCTTCCTATTCTGAACAAGTAAAAGCAAGAGACGCTCCTTTTTTCCCCCTTTCTTCCTCCTGAACGAAACAAGTAAAAAGCAAGAATTTCCTGTACGACGTGGTCGACCGTCACTTTTGATAGGCCTACATGCGTTTCTTTTTTCCCCCCTTCTCAAAAAACAATATTTCTACTTTTAGTTGTGCACTGCCACAATGATAGAATGCCAAAAATGCATCTAAACATAGAGAACCAGAACACACATAACCTGAACAAGTCTTCCCTCTTTGTTGTTGTTGAACTCAGTAGTGATTAGAAGCTCATGCTTTCAACTCGAATTTCCCCGGTTCAGTGTACTGCTTCTCGAGCTGCTCCGTTTTCTGGAATCTGAACCCTCTGATTCTTATTTCCTCGGGTACAGAGGTGTCCTTGTAGTCGACTTTCTCGATGGCCCAACCCTTGTTCTTGACCGAACCCCCAACTTTCACCTGTCCACGGGATTTCTAATTTAGAAAACGGAGTACTTCAATGCATAGCATAATTGTCAGGTTTATTATACAAGGCGATCGACTGACCTCAGCTCCATCACCCGACTCGACAACAAGAGCTCCATCCAACGAGAGATTTTCGATGAATATGTTACGACCTTTAAGAGCTAAGGTAGACTTTTGGGAAATGGACGAACTTCCAGCAACTTTCTTCTTGACATCTGCAAATGTTAGACCCCACTTTGGCTTCCATACAACACGAGGCCACACTTCCACCTCTTGCCCATTGAATTCCTGCTGCACTGGATCTTCTACTTGCACACCAGCCTGTTTGATGAACACAAAAAGAATTTAATAGCCGTGCGAAAATATTCATTAGTTCTTCAAGCAGTCTCAACATAAAAATGCAGCAACAAGTACCCTTCTGAGGATGAGGCTGTTTGCGCGATAGACAGCCATTTCTCCAGACGTCGCACTGTGATATGGATTTCCTTTGGGTACCTTTATTGAATCACGGTTTATTAAGAGCAAGAATGATATTCCAAAACGAGGAAACAAAGAGCGGAGATTGAGATGAGAGGAGAACAACAGAAACAGAAACCGTGAAACATGAATGTAAACCCATCTTTTAGAATTAAGGTTTCATCCATGGAATCGAGAGGAATGAAGTTAGTTGTCCGTGGCTGTGAGAACAAGCACAGATGAGCCTATATTTTACACTATTCGAATGGCAGGAGGCTGCAGCTTCCTTCTTCCTTTCACCAAATACGATTTGAGACCTCCACCTACCACGCTCCTACCAGTATCCAATTTCCTCCGACATCAGTGGAATAAAATTTCACATAGGAATTATCAGACTCACCTTGGCAGCATCCTCAGGGTTATTCTTAACTGGAGCATAAGCAACCCATGCATCCATAACCTAAGCCAAAATAAGATAAAAGGTGGATATCAGGAAGACAGTCAGACTACATCAAGTTCCCATCATGTTTTGGCACATATGGTTGATCAGGATAGCACCAGAGCATAACAAAGTTCAGACAAGTTTACAAACATTACCGTAAATCCAACCCTTGCTGATGGAGGCAAGGTTTTTGGATAATCCTGCATCATGCACTCCAGACGGGTGGATGACTTAAATGCAGTTTTACTGGCATCTTTGTATCTGCATCAAGAAAGCAACCATGTTTCCTCTTAAGTTGGTTTGGGCAAAATAAGGCCAACTTACAATATGTCGCAAAACAACAGCCAGTGACAGGGATATTACTTTGGATTTACGAACTCCTTTATAGCTCCTCCAGTTTTCTTCAGCTCCTCAAAGTAAGGACCAAGTTCCATAATCAACTGCAACAACGTAAATATAGGGTAGGTGAAGGTCAGGAACCTATAAAGATGATAACATACACAAATTTAGCCGAAAAATAAATAGTGAAAAATAGTTTAATCGTCCCAATTGGACTAAGGTAACGAAGGCTAGACACAAGCATGAAACTAATTAAGACATCATGTACATCAGTTATTTGGAAAAACAGACAACCTATAGCTATAAGAATGGACTAAAAATAAGGAATGTTGGCACAAGCATAAAAC